TCACCACTAGCACTAGGTTTCACTAGGTTTTACTAGGTTTCACTAGGTTTGACATTTAGAGAAACTAAAACATTTGTCATACTCACCGGAGTAGAATCAAGTTGAGGTGGAGGTGTAGCCTGTGATGACCGAAAGCAGAACTGTGGGACCGTTCCACCTTGGGTCATCGTAAGACCCCAGACGTAGGAGAGCACCTTTGCCATCTGCCGCTGATCTCAAGCTCCCTGGCCTCTAAAGTTGCCGGCCTCTCGCCGCTCGAGCTCCCGCTCGGCCTCCAAAGCTCGCCACCTCTGCCATTTGCTTTGCCCCGCTCAACCTCCATCGCCATACCTACTGTGTGCTCGCAACATTTGACGCCAATGTTTCAAGATTGCGGAGCTAAGGTATGTAAAAGTCAAAGAACTAGGAATGGAAGAGAACACTTACACTGGAGTGTCGACACCACGGTCGCAAGGCTGGCGTATGGCGGCATTGAGCTCGTGCTTTCGCTGCTCGGATCTGGTGCGCGGAGGAACAGAGGTCGTGTCGAGGACACCGTCGCCAAGCCGTAACCGCCTGTGCTTCTTGCCTTGCCCCACCCTCATCACGAGCTCTGGATCAAGCCGCCTCGGTCGGTGGTCGGGTCAGAGTCCGCCCGTGGATGACCTTGCCATCTCTCGTATGCAGAGATGAGAGGGGCAATCTTGGCATTGGTGAACGACTCGGCGAGGACTTACGGGGTCCGGTCGGTGGCGGCTCGCCTTGCCCAAGTGGGACAAGGCATATGCCTTGAGGTGACCACAAGGGCGGCCACCATGTGACGCCGACTGCGAGAAAGACAATAACATTGTTAGAGTTGTTGCAGAATTGACATTGTTAGAGTTGTTGCAGAATTGAGTGTGAGGTTAGAGAAATGGTTTCGCCTTACCCAAGCTTCTGAGAATTCGGAGAGGTTGCGGCTGCCTTGATGGTGTGGTACTCCTTTGCCGAGTGATCACATGCGGAGATGTCTGGGTTTTAGGCATCGGACGTCGCAACTTGCTCGAAACCCACTCAATTTTTTATCACAGCCTATACATGCGATGAAATGACACCTCGACAAGTTTCGTGAATTTCGGACTTCGTTTCCATTTTACATAATTTAAAAATACTTTACACGCAAGTTCCTCGCCGTGTTCCGTGAAAACGATGCGCCAAATTTGGCATCTGTCACTGGATACGGTCTCACACCACATGCAATACCATGAATATGATTTTTTGAATCACTCAATTCCAATATTCAATGCACCTGCAGTTCAAATTTGAATTACTGGGAAGAATTCAAGTAAATAAAATAAACTTATTAAATATAGCTAATAACATAAAAAAAGCTCCAAATTTTAATATGTACTTTAAGGTACAACAGTAAACCCAGGGTAAAAATTTGGAAGCAAAAAAAATTATTTTGCCGAGGGCACAGAAACGACACTCGGCAAAGTAATTCTTTGCCGAGGGCCAAATTCTGACCCTCGGCAAAACAGACGGCAGGTCAAGGCCGTTTGTCTACCGTCACAGGTTTACCGACGGCCATGTTTTGCCGAGAGCCGGACCTCGGCAAAGATAAACTTTTGCCAACGGCCTTTCTTTGCCGACGGCCGGACCCTCGGCAAAGGGCCCGGTTGCCGAGAGGAATTCTTTACCGACGGCCTACCTTTGCCGAGGGCCGACTCTCGGCAAACCTTTCTTTGCCGAGAGCCCGACATTTGGCTCTCGGCAAAGACGCTGGCTCTTGGCAACGGGCCTGTTTTCGGTAGTGAGGTACAAGCTCATCCCCTCACGACGCCGTTTTCTTCCGTTGGCGTGCTTCCTCTTTCCCCATAGACACATGCACAGAAGAGAAGGTGAGAGGGCGAGCGGGCTTGGTCTGCACGGGCGGCCCCGACTCTGGTGAGGCAGCCATGGGAGAGTTTGGCCTAGCATTGGTGTGGGCGGCCTTGACCCCAACGAGGGCAGCCGTGGGCGAGTTCGACCCAACCATACATCGGGCAGCCCCGGCGTCGACCCCAACGAGGGCCGCCACGGGCGAGCTCGACCTTGGCCATGGCATGGGCGGCCCCATCCCAGCAAGTGCAGCCAAGGGCAAGCTCGACCAAGCAGCCATGCGCGCAAGCGGCCTCAGCCCTGACGAGGGCAGCCGAGGGCGAGCTTGGCCCCGGCCATAGCGCAAACTATGGTGAAGGAGGAAGCAGAAGTTGAGAGAGGATGACACGTGGGTCCCACTAAACAGATGTGTAACAGAGTACAGACAGTGATGTATCTCGTTCTTCATCTCCATTCCTCCAACTGAACATATAGCAGGGACGTACTCGTCTCCTCAACCAAACATATATAGAGCAGGGACCATCACATCCAAAAAATCTAGAATGAATCTATCACGTCCCTCCTATCCCAAAATACCAAACTGACCCTAACCAATGTACTTCACAAGTTTTACCACATGTTATATATCAGTGCATCAAATAAGTGTCCATGTCCATATTATCAATTTTGAAAATAACAAATCAAGTTACCCCTGTATAAGGTAGAATTCACAGTTTCCTTCCGTAACCTCGTCCACAATGAACCAAGTAGTGTTGAGCCATATGCACTAGCATGCAGTTTCAGTGGTTGTGAGTAAATTATTAACAGTCAGCAAAACGTTAATCATTGTCCATTATTATAAATCTCCTAGTTGGCCATTGTACTTGCCATTGGCCTAGTTTGGGTCTTAGCGCGTTGCAAACTTGAGGTGGCATTTGGGCCTTAAAAATCATATGAGGGTGGATAGTTGTCACTACGTGAAAAACGTTTTGTAGCAACGAGGCAAATTTTTTTGTAGGGGCGGCTGGTGATGGAGCCGCCCCTACAATGGCGTGCTCGGGAGCCCAGAGACCAGCCGTCCCTATAAATAGAACAGCAGGTGCGGCTGGTGATACGAGCCACCCCTACAAATGAGTCGAATTTATAGAGGCGGCTAGTAATACCAGCCGCCCTGCTATGTCCATTTGTAAGGGCGGCTGAATCACCGGCCGCCCCTACAAATACCGAACCGACAATAAAATTCTAATATATTAAGCCGGTTTGCCTCGCCCGTCGCCCTCTCTTTCTCTCCTCTTCGCTCCCTCTCCCTCTCAATGCGACCTCTCGAAGCGAACGGGGGAGCCTAGGGTTTCAACTCCCCGTAGCCGGCCGTCCCCACGGCCGCACCCCCCGCGGCGGCGGCAGTGGCTGTCCCCACGGGCTCCCCTCCGGCGGCGGCGCCCCCCGGCACAGCCGAACCCGGCGCACCGGCCCTTGGCCGCAGCCAGCCCGCCGACCCTCGCGCCACGGGCGCCCGACCGTGGCAGCCCTGCCACAGGTGCTCCCCCTCCCGGCGTGGCGGCCTGGCCAAGCCCTAGCTGCGGCTGTCCCGAGGCGGCGGCCTGGGCGCTTTCGCACGCTGGATCTGGTGCTTCCGGCCACGACGGGCCCTGCACAGTACGCCGGCGGCCTCTCTCCCCCTGTCCCTCCAAACGCCGTCGCAAGAACTGCCTCCCACATCAGCCTCAGGTACCACGATCCAGATCCCAAGTCGCTACTGCACCACCATGCCTAATCCTGACGGCTGTAACTTCCGTTGTCTCCCCTGCAGGTAACGCTGCTCGTGGACGACGTCGCACTCTAGACTACATTCGCTTCACGGTCTCTCCCAGGTTAAGCGCACACACCCCCTGCTAATTAGATAGCATCAGACTACAGCGTTTTTCCATGTTCCATAATTCCGTCTTACCTAGCAACTAGCATCATCCTCGGTGAGCCTGAACCCCATCTTTCATTTCCCCGTCTTCCTCGCTACCTGCTGGTGGACACTGCTGATGCTTCACATGTATGGACCACACGGAACGCTCAAGGTGTTTGATGCATTGCCTTAGAGGAAGACCAAGTGCCATATTCAAGGTGTTCGCCGAGAAAGTGCCGGTGATAGAAGTGTGCAGGTGCCTTCTGATGCCCTTTTTCCATAAGATTGGCTTCTAGCAGTTTCTATTCCAAAACAATTTTCTGGGTCTTTAGATCAGCGTACAACTTCTTGTGATTTTTGGGCAGATCATGTAGAACAGAATGTAATAGATGAAATGTGTAATTTAAATATGTTTTCAGCAATAATGTCACCTCTACATGTTAACGCGATCGGAACAAAATACCTGAAAATTATTACAGATATACGATTATTGTTGGTACCAATATAAAACTTATCTTACCTCGGGACAACAGGAACGCAACATGAAACCAGAGCATTTCGATCGCGTTACATGGTGCATACATATATCGATGCATACATTTGTCTAATCTTCCCACTTTGTGCAACTACTGCAAGTATAGCCTATTAGAACTTTGCCCTTCATGGTTATATCTGTTTGCCCTTCATGGTTAGTTTTGAGCCTGGACAAATCCCAGTTGCATAGATGCTAAACTGGAATTGTTGTATTTGACATAAGTAACTTAGATTGGAAGATCATCAGTAGCATCTAGCATATGTATATATGAGTTTGTTCCTGTAACAAACTCTTCTCTATTCTATGAAATGGGCACAATCTCTTGCCAATTCTATGCTTCTCTCATTTGAGATACTGACATATTGCTTCTGTATTTTCAATTTGTCCTCATTGTCTCCTATGCCTATATAATATTTAGTGATCAAATTTAGGATCTTCTTTGTTGAGATTGGTTTATATGTACTTTTCTAACTTTTGCAGGCCTATTCTTTACCTTGCAATGCAACTATTCGTGTTTGAATGTCTTCTGGGATGCCTGATTACTTGGACCACAGCCTCACGAGAAATAACAAGTTGTGATGGTACTTGTAGATTGTCAGTATGCACTTGTGATTCTATTCACATTGTTCAAGTTGAAACCTTCTAGTATCATGCTAATGGTTCTAGTATTAAGCTTGCGTCTTGGACATGCCTATTTCTGTCAGCACTACTCGATGAAATGGACGGCAGCGGGGGAGACGGTGACCGGTGATGGCAGCCGTCTCAGGGGATCAAAGAGGCTCAAGACAACGACGCCAGCGACAGCACAAGGTCCACAGCACGGCCAACGGTGCAATCCCAAACCAACAAGAAATTAGTCTATGATGAAGGTAACCGAGGTTGTTTTGTTCGCATGTAAATCCCGTTTGTATGCACAGCAGGCTGGCTTCGATGCCTGCCTGATCCTGGACATCAACATCACCTGAACGTTCTATATTCTGAATGTTTTTTTCCTTTTTTTTTTGGTTATTATATACTTTGTGCAGGCACCATGTAAGAGGAGCCAGAAGCTGGGGGACAAAATCACGGCGCTTCAGCAGCTTGTCTCCCCGTATGGCAAGGTAAAGCTCCAGCAGTTCGTCGACCTTTGCTGCCCATGCTGTGTGTGTATTCCTATTTGTGATCTGCATGCATAGCATTCACCAATCTGAAGAGCGTTTGTGTCTCTGAAACCTGAATAAGATCTACCCGCGTGTGCAGACCGATACGGCATCAGTGCTCCACGAGGCAGCTACCTGCATCAAGCATCTCCACGAGCAGATCCAGGTGAGACAGATGTTGCATTGCATCATCTTCTTACTGAATGGTCACGCGACGCTTGTACACGAGCAGTAACAAATTTGTAGCAACTCACGGTTTTTTTCCGTCACCGTTTCGCTATCATTTTTTTCTGCAGATTCTGACCGCCTCCTACCCTGAATTTAGTTCTTCGGCGTCACAGCAGGTACCCGATTACGGGATCATATAGCATATAAAGCGACTTTTTGTCTAAATTCTCAATGTGCTTCACACGAAAGATCTGCGCTGAAACTGAAAGCTTTGAATCGCTTCTGTGGTTGGCAGGACACGGGCGAGGAAGATGGCGGCGCGACGCGCGAGGCCTTCACGGAGGATCGCTGGCGCTGCCTCGGCACTCTGTAGCCGGCCGGAGGATGCTGCCATGGTTCGGTTGGTAGACGGTAGGAGTACGAGACATCAGACATGGCATCGACGGTTGCCGGCTGGTGTCATCAGACCTTCAGTTACAGCGTTAGAACTCAATTTCACTTGAAAAAATAAAAATTACTCACGCGCTTTTTGAGGTTATTATTATAGTATGCCTGATTTGAATTATATAACAAGTTGTGACGGCACTTGTAGATTGTCAGTTTGCCTGATTTGAATTATATATGTTCTGGTCATATTTGAATTATATATATATATATATATGTTCTGGTCGAATTTGAATTTTTTTTAGCGAAAAAATGTACTGTAGGGGCGGTTGGTACTGTAGCCGCCCCTACAAATCGATTTGTAGGGACGGCTACAGTACCAACCGCCCCTACAAATCGATTTGTAAGGGCGGTTTAAGAACCGCCTCTACAAATGCATGATTTGTAGAGACGGTATGGTAGGGGCGGCTGGCTGAGCCGCCTCTACAAACGATCTGCAGCCGCCCCTACAAAGCGTTTTTCACGTAGTGTGTGCAACTGGAGGTGGCCTTGCACTCTTCTAGCATGAGTTGGTTGAGGTCTCATTGGTGAATATATAGAAAAGCACAAGAGATACATTGATGTACATGTCCGAGAAAATGCTTCTTCACCTTTGGTTCTCCATGCATTTTGTTGTGTATAGTGAGCCAAGGGTGGAAGATCAGCATAGGTTTTGGGGTCATATATATATGAAGCATCTTCATGGTATGTCCTCGGCCTCTTGGTTACTTCTTGGAATTTTAATGAGGTGATGTGGGGCTATAAATAACACTGACAGGGGCCTGAAAGACATATGGCTGTCGGCCTTCCGAGACGTATTGTCTGAATGTGACCTCACTAATCTGGGTTTTATAGGTATTCATTCAGTATTTACGTATATTGGCCAAGACAGTAAAGCTAATGTTAAAGTCCGGCTCGATGCCGTGGCCAACACCGAATGGAGGGATATGTTTGGCGAAGCAACCTTATTTATCATTTGAAATGTCGTCGAGGCCAGAGTGCCAGACCATTGCCCATTGCTTCTAGAGATTAGAAAAGTTGGGAAAGACATAAACTAAGATTAATGTGTCTATGTTTACATGTTTTTTTATCTATACTAGCATGTTGGTTTACTTTATTTTATATCTTCTAAAATTTATATGAGGTAGCAAGTTAACTTTATTATTAGAGGTGCCTTTAGTAGAACAAAGGCATGCTTTGAAACTGTTTGCATGCTTTAGAGCATCTCCCACAGTATGAGCTAAACTTTAATATAAAATTTATAAATATGGAGAAGAGATGGGCCGCAGCAAGAAGCCTTAAACATCGTGCTGCGAGATAGAAATACTTTGTAAAATGTGTGGGGATGACTATTTCTTGAGTCATGTTAGTTTATTTTCTTTTTACGCTATTAGTGATTAAAAAATTGCATCTAGCTATAAGCTGGAATGTTAGATCATTAGAGACATCCTTAGAGTCAGCAATAGCTGACGAGGGGGCCAGGCCTGTACCTTATCTGCAGCCATGGTACACTACTATACGATACGAAGTAGAGAGGTACAAGTGTCATAGAGGCACATCCCACGTGGACCACAACCCGGTTATTCTGCTGGCCAGACCGCGTGGCATATGTTGCTCTGCAGTTTCATTTGGTCATCTCTGTAACTCTCTGCAGTCTGTCTCCATACATCCAGAAGCCGAGTGGAAAACGGCCCAGCCCGGTCCAATAACAAGAAGCTGAAGGCTACGGGAATCACAGAATGTGGGCCTTGGACCTAGTCGGCCCAATGGACACCACATACAAGGAAATCGAGTGCAAAGAAGTGAAGAACGGCATGCCCAGCAGCTTACGTGCAGCAGAAACTGAGATGCGAAACAGTTTCTCCAGTTCCGTAGTGACGTCTCACACAAGGTAGCTCCGGCGTGACGTAGGAATCGCCAAGGAGCACACAGATCGACTTGGTCCAGCGCCGACTTCGCCGCCCCGACGGCTCCGCAGCCGCCGCAGACGACGGCCGCGACGCGCCAATAGGAGAGCATGGCACCTGAGGCAGCCAAATCCCACAATTAAATAGGAGTGATGGTTTGGTGTCATTGTGCGTGTGCATGCATCCATGCATTGTTGATTCTGCGGGTTTTGGCTAGCCTCATCGTCTTTCGGTTTCTTGCCATCAATTTTTCGTTGCTCCTCTCTATATACAACAAGGAAGGAGTATATCAAATCTTTACCAAAAAATTTAATAACTCCGATAACGGGCAGCAATTAACGATTGCCAATTACTATCTTTAAGATTATTTACTACTTTCCAAGTCTGTTCAAGCTTTGCTCTTTGCTGTGACCACATGCTTCAGTTTCTTCTTAACTCTAGAAAGTCTGATCAAAAGTATATTTACTATTTTCCAAGTACTATACTACTAGTACTTTTCAAGGTTTGAGGTTCCTGGTTAATACTATTACGATTTAGTACTTTCCGAGTTTTATCTTTTCTATATCAAATAAGTATACACTAGACAAATACATTTAATGATGTATGTAATGATACTAATTATTTTCACAAATATTAGTATTTATGTTTGTAAATTCGGTCAAATTTAGAAAGTTTAACTTATGGCATTTCTTGGGGACAAGGTCGTACTCCCTCCGTCATGAAGTATGGTGCATTATGACTTCTATAAAATTTATACTGAAATATAGTGTATTCTACATCATGTCAACGTCTAGATTTGGTAGTTAGTTGAAAAGGAAACCATAATTTGAGAAGAAACATCTTAAAAGGGTTTAATCTATGGGTACATGCGTCATTTGAGGATTTCCTTAAATTGTCTTAAAATTTTTGGAATTCACTATATTACAGGACGGAGGAGGGAGTATATAATACTCCACCCATCGCAAAAGGATGCAACTAGATCTGTGCAAGTCAAACTAGTTTAACTTTGACCAAGTTTATATTGAATAGTATTAAAATTTATGCCTCCAATTAGGTTTAATAGAAAATATATTGTATAATTAATTAATTCAATGATACTTATTTTGTATCATAATATTAGTATTTTTTATATAACTTTAGTGAAACTCTAAATTATTTGACTTATCGAAAGGTAAGGATTGCTTCCTTTTGTAGACAAAGGAAGTAGCATCAACCGACTTTTGTGTATGCAAAAAGCATACACATTTGAGATTACATATATTTGCAAAGTTTGGGGAAATTTGAAGCAATGCTTACTATTCGTTCTGAGACATTAAGTAAGAGGAATACATGCCTGATAGCCAGACCAAAGTCGATGCAACATGGGACATATACGGTCCTCTTTCATTTTATACTCCCTCCGTGCACAAAAGAATGCAATTCTAGCTTTTTGAGGAGTCGAAGAGTTTGAACTTCGACTAAGTTTATATAAAAAAATATTAACATTCATGGTACAAAATAAGTATCATTAGATTAGTTATATATTATATTTTGATAATAAATTTATTTGAAGAAATAAATGCTAATATTATTTACTATAAACTTGGTTAAAGTTGAGTGAGTTTGACTAGCACGAATCCCATAATTGCATTTTTTTGTGGACGGAGGGAGTATTAGCAAATGTGTCTATATGTTGCACAGAACCCATTACGTCTTCGAGTCGAAGTCTATATCATCGCTGCACACGAGTTGTTTTAACTTGTATGAGCATGGGTCATAAATTCAAGTCACATATAAGATATGGAGGGTGTTGGTATTTATTAACTTGTCACTTGTTTTAGTAGCCACTTATTAATTACCTACATCTCCTAACATCACTTTATTAGGTTGTCATCCCTAGTGATGGTGCCAGAGATGCTTGTTGGTACTGCCTAGCATTACTACTAGAATGATGCTAAGTAGTTCTTTATCATTTTATGTGACTAGAAAGAATATAAAGATATATGAATGAAAAGGAATCTGTAAGTATACGATAATTATACCATTGTAGCACTTCACTGAGAGAGTATTTTAGGTATCGTTATTTATATTTTTTACCACGTGGGAAGGTCTTGCATGAACAAGTATTGATAACTTATACTATTGATGGAGAAGTAAACCATAACCAATATTCTACTCATAACAGGAGTAAGTCATAGGATAAGATATATATATGATAAGTATTGATCATCAATAATGATAAATCACTCAAAGTACTTCTTTCTATGGCATTAGCATGGTGGTCAGTAGAATATTAGAGGAATAATTCCTAAGTCATTCTTAATTAGAGCATCTCCAAGAGTTCACTAAACCTTCTCCTAATCCTTGGTTTTAGAAAGAAGTGAAAAAATCCTCTCCAACAGCTCCTAAAATCACCTCCTAATCTTTTAGCGCCCAAAATCGAGCCTCGACGCGCAAAAATTTACAGTGATCGGGCTCGCGTGGATCCCACCATGAGCCAGTTTCTCGGGCCGTGCCGTGGCGGGGCCGAGGCGGCTTTGCTGGAGGAGGACGGCGGCGGGCGTCTCTCGCCGATCCGGAGGTCGACGCGGAGGCGAGGCATCACGGCCGAGCTGCTTCGGTTCCGACAGGGAAGCGGCTTTGCATCCCGGTTGTCGAAGAAAGCAGCGGCGTCCTTGACGAATCAAGCAACCCGAAGGCGAAGGCAAAGAAGAAGTCCTAGAAGAAGCTGCTCGTGGCCAGCGCCAAGAAGCTGCATAGAGGACGGAGGAGTAAGGAGGTGGGTTCATTAGGTTCCTCTTTCCTCAGCTAGGGCGACCGAGCGGACGATGCTACGGCGCGCGGCGGCGACAATGCCAAGGCGGCGGCGGATTCCTCGGTCTACTCGCCGGGAGCTCTTGGCCCTGGTGCTCACGGTGCTCTGCGTCGCGTTCCATTGCAGATTAGTGAGCTGGTCGACGACCTTATACGCTTGATGCCAAATTGCCGATGGGGATGGCGAGGCGCGTTTTCGACCGCCTACCGTTCTTTGTTGCCGTTGGCACCACCCGACGTCGACAAACAA